TAAAATATTCATGTTTCCTTGAGAGAGGGTGTAGCTAGACAAGAAATATCTACAGCATTAGTCTTTAGTGCTTCCTGTGGCATCAGTAGGATGAAATTATAATATGGTAAACTCTAATTTTTTTTTCATCAATAGTGTTTGGTATAGTGTTTAAGATTTTTATAACTTTAAATGATTTCATTATTATTTCCTGGAAAATTTTTCTCTGTAACTCTCATTTAGGTCCTGCAATTTCACCATAAATTTGCCAACTTGATTCTCTTCTTCTGTTCATATTATGATTGAAAAGACTTGGTTATCCCAACAGAGGTTTTTTTCTTGTATAGCCTTCCTTGACTTCTTCATATAAAGTTCTTGCACATGCCTTCTTAAAAATCATAGTTTGCATTTACCTTTGAAATACTCTAATGAGACATAAATTAAATGAGAAAAAAATTCCATGATGTAGTATATTAAGAGAAGGAAATGTCAAAACATAGTTGAAATTAAGACATTTGATTAACTTAAAAAGGTCTTAGATGTTTAAGAAATGTTGACTTTTGATTTGTTTTAAAAAAGAGGAAATACCAATAATTTTATTTCAAATGAGAATGTGTAAAACCATAACTACCCATTTTATTGCAAAAATCATAAAATTTGCAATATTGTAAACAAGCTATTTCCTCTGCAAGCTGTAAATAAAAGGAATCAGAGTATGTATGTATATGCACAGGTGATGGTTAAAGATTGATTTCCTTTTTAAAGCAAAGAGGAAGTAATCAAGTTAATTAGTACAATAAATAGAAAAGATTCCTCTTATGGCCTAAGCAGGAATGAAGTAGCTACCAACACTTTAATTTCTACTAGTCTAGAAATAAAGAAAATTAGACATTTAACAATATTTTCAGATAGTTTAATGACATATTTGCTGATTATAAAATTAAATTTGTAGTTGGGATCCATTGAATCTATTTTATGAGCTCAAAGAAGCTTCTCATGTAAAATTCATTTGCACAAAAATACTTCCATAAGCTACTTTGCAATGTTGCCACTTCACTCTTGTGCTTCCATGTTCCTAACTAATTTATGAATGTACAAAAATCTAACGATATATTTAAAGTATTACTTAAGAATGCATAGTAATTATATATGTGGTAAGTTATAGTTATGAATTACTAAACATGAACTAATTAAATCTTCATATCTTGGTACTTCTACAATATACTGGGAAGATCATACATACTGTTATTTTATCTCAAGTATTTTTGTTAGAGAAGAGAGGACATTCTTTTCAGTATTTTACAAATTGCTCAAAATCAAATTAGGGTTTGGATTCATTTTCTCTCTCTCTAAATTTGAATTGACATGCATAATAGCTTCTTAGTATTTTTTTTCTCCCCCAAAACATCCCAAGCAGTGGCACTTTGGTACAGTACTGATAGACAACTTTTAAAAACTATTCTTTCACTAATAAAACATGATTATTGATTAGTTTGGAGTTGATCTTTAGATGATCCAGGAAAAATTTTTTTTTTCTCTTTTGGTCTTTATATTATGCAGAAAATTAGCCTCTAAAGTTTTTAGTGTCATTTTTAGTGTAAGCAACCCAGTCAATGGATTTGAACTTTTGTGGGAGAAAAAGCCTAAAATTGTTGCCTATAATTAAGTCTATGGTTCTTTGGAAATATTATTAATTCACTTATATGCTCATCTCCATCATCATGAAAAGTTTTCACAGCAATATTAAAAAAATAAAAAAATACTGAATTTTAAAGATCTTTCATCAATATGTGAACATTTTTAGATTAATGGGGCTTTTAAAAATAGAAATCATAAACTATATTTTAATTTATAGTATTTGTGAATTTGTTTTTCAGGAATTAAGAGCATTTCCATTACCTACATTTGATTGATACGTTTTCCTGGTTATTTTTACTTCAATATAATTTTTCTCATGCCAGTTCTCTTTTGTCATTATGATTATTTTAGCATAGCAATTTATCATTGAACTGTAGTTTTTAAAAATTTTTAATAGAGTGGAATTAGAGAGGGGTGCTCAAAAATTTAATTGGAATTCCAACCTATTTCTCCTTCACAAATTTTAGATTTCTTCATAAATATTATCAATTAGGACATGTGCTAAGCAATATTCCAGCAGTTTCTGCATTTACTAAACATGTGGTCTCTTAGCTGATGCCTTGATAAAGTATTATGTGAGATAGACCTCAAAATGAAAATAATAAATCAAGTGTAAAATGTTATAAAAATATTATTTTACCAGGAAATAATAATTGCTTTGTTTCATTGGGATAACTTTTACTTCCAGGTCTCTGATAATGTGTTAGGTATGTATAATATATCTGTTTGTTGCAAATTTACTTCTTAATGGAAAACCATATAAACACATCAGAAATATGCAGATATGCATGTCATGAATATCACAGGGTATTGAAAATATAGTCAACCACTGGTGATAAAACAAGAAAATTTTAGAAATTATTAATTTATCAATAGCTACACATGGAAATGCATGTAAGAAAAAAGATTCCAGTTTCAGAATTCAACCCCTGCTAGTGTAAAGAGGCCTAAATGAATACATGTTAGACATACACAAAATTCTATTGAAATTTATACAATTAACTCCTTTATCCACTGTTTTGTTTTCATTGTAGTCACATAAAACTTAAGCAAACAATTTCTTCCTGTGAAAGTCTTTGGGATCTTAAGGCTCTCTGAAAGCACACCAGTTATGATGTATGCAAGTTAAAAAATCTCACCCTTTCATCTTGATGTAAGAGCGTGGTAGTAACTGACAGTACTGAACGGCCTTCTGCACCAGTGTAAGTATTCAAGTGATGTTCTTCAACTTGGTCTGTGGAGAGCTGGGGAGGCTACCTGCTTCAAATTTCCACATAATGAAACACAAAAGATAATGGGCAGGGAGGTAGCAAGTATCAAACCATCAGAATTGGCAGCATCAGCAAGCTGAATTGAGGTAGTTTCCCCATTGTTCTGTGAAACTAGCTTCTTATTGACAGAGTTGCTCTCATACAGATTACTGTTGGATTGGTAAAACAAACGTAAGGGCTCATAATCCACAGACTATATTCGTGTTTCCAAAGTTACCTTCAACAAGTCTAAAAATGATTCTTTCATTACCAAATGTATTCTATGCACCAGAGAGGCTAACCACATTTCAGGTGCTAATATTGCCATAGTGTGGTGTGAGAAAACATAATTACCGTTAAAGCTGTGGTACTCCTACAATTTAAAGAACATCTGTAGACCTAAAAAATATTCACATTAAGTGAATAAAAAGGAATGATGCATAAGATATTTTGAGGTGATATTAAGGTTACGGTGTACTCTGACCCAGCACAGAATGCTTCCTGTTGTCATATATTTTAAAACTATATGTGTGTGTGTATATATATATATATATATATATATATATATATATATATATATATATATATATATATATATATATATATATGCCTGGCTATTCTCTAAACTATTCCTCATATTAATTTAAGAAATTAACTTATAGGTGGATGGTGTTTAAATTTTTGGGAAATGAAAAAGAAAAAGAAATCACCAAGGTATCAAGAGAAATTATAATTTGGCAAATTCATTCTAACTTTGCCCTAGGAGGGACTCCATACTTCGACACTGTGGTAAAGGTTTTTCTGTACTTGAAGGTCTAGGAAGTTTATTTGAAAGGGCCCTTTCCCTCCCATTTTTCTCCTTATATAGAACAAGAAAAAAATAGCATGATACTGTCTTATACTATCTTTATAAAATGGATATTCACTTTGCCATTATTCTTGCAGCATTTTGCCAATTGAGTAAATTTAAATTTCTAACATTGAAATGGCGCTTACAAGGGAGGAAAAACAAATGATCCACAGCCCCCCACCCACGCCAAATTCAATATTTAAATATCTGATTGAAGCTGGCTTTTATAAGCATAGAGACTGCAGCCGGTTTATAAATAAGCACATAATAACCTATATATTAACCTGCTCCAAAGTAAGTTATTCATCTTATTTCAGCTAACAGAAACATGACCATCCCATTTTTCCAGTTCTTTGTCTGCAAAGGCTGTGTAATTTTGTGCTTAGGTTATTCGTTTAGGCAGATTGATTTCTTTTGCATGGCTCATTTGGGGGATAGAGGATTTAGCAAAGTTTGTGTACTGCAAACAGATGGAAAGAAAGGCAAGAAAAAAAAGAATAATTAATCATATAGTACATACATCAATACAGTATCTACTAAATCTCAATCAGTTGTTTATTGGTTGGCAAACAAGTTTCACTTTTACAACAAATATTAGTAATGAGGTCATCCAACTTTGAGACCATACAAAATGGATCATAAATTTAAAAAAAAAATTATATGTGCTGCTAATATACCTCTTGTATTCCTACATTACTTAAAATCTTGTCAAATAAATAAATTTTCCTGTTAATAAACAGAAGAGTTTTTTTTTTTTAAATCACTTCAAAATAACTTGACCTTTTGATTCTTATTACGAGAGAGTGAATTTCCTTTAAAAATTGGTAGTGCAGGTGCCCACTTGGGGATCAGACTGAGCATTCAGCACTTTAATGCCTATGGGACACCATTTTTTTTATTTTTTTATTTTTTATTATTTTTTTTCACATGCAGAAGCCCCACTAGTTCTATTGACACCTCTTGACTTCTAGAATCATCGCTACTGTCTTGGTGATGAATCGGTTGCCAAATATGCTTGCATTACAACAGATGTGCACTCTAAACATAAAAGTTTGTCCTGCTCTAATTTGCAAAAATGCTCCTGGAAATATTCTGAGTGAATAAAGATATATAGTGAGGGAAGGAAGTCTAATTTTATTTATTTTATTTTTTGTAAAAAATAATTTGTTTGCATTACTAGAAAATGATTCTTATAAAGTGATAGTTTTATTTATTTATTATTTATTATTTATTTATTTATTTTTTTGCTAAGTGAATTTTTAAAGAAAATAGGCGAGAGAGACAGGGAGAGAGAGAGAAGAGAAAAAGGAAGATAAAAGAAAATGAAGAAAGAAAGGAAACACAGGAGAAAGGAAGGAAGCTTCGCTCTTACTAGTAGACAAACTTGCAAGACCAGCACAAAAGAAAAAAGAAAATTTCTCTTTTTTTTTTTCCACTACATTAACAGGACTCAAATTCTGAGGAACAGAAAGCAGACTATATGTGCAATGCTAGTATCTGTACATTACATAGAAATTGTTCAGTTTTTTTTCTGCCATTAGTTTAATCATCAGTTAATACAGCAACTCATAAAATATGCATTTAGCATATAATTCTAGAATTCCCCTCCATTTCGTTAATTCTGTTGTTTTATTTTGTATACCACAACTATTCCCGCTGTGGTGAATTCAGGTTGTGAGTGACTAAAAACCACTATGTGATACAGTTTTGCTTTGCTTTTATGTTTGTTTGTGCAGCACTCCAATCTAGATGCAGCATTGTTACTGTCAAACTGTTCTGGCCTTTTCAAAATCAGGTCCTTGTAATTATAGTAACAAAGCATCAAAGATGTTAGAACAAACACAACATAATTCAACAAGGCCACAATGAGTGCCATTTTCTTCATATCTCGTTCATTAACATAATGAAGTCTCCATCTGAGGGGGGAAAGGACAGGAAAAGATAAGACACAGGGGAATTTCAGCAGTTATCTTTCTCCCCTGGGCTGACCTAAAAATCCCAGTTTAAAAAAAAAAAAAAGTCTGTGAGTTTGTGTTTGTCGTTCAAGAACAGCATAAAGATTTAGGAGTACACACATTATTACCACTGCTTATAGCAACTCAGAACAGTCAACCAGGTGTTAGCAGTTTTGTTGGTTTCCATTTTTCTGTCATCTTCTATAGACTAGTGACCAAATGAGCAGGTCCTTTTGCATTTCCCTCCGGAGGGGTCCCTTCTTTGTTTGGAGGAACTATAAATCCATCGCTGCTACCACGACCTAGCTGGTAGTAGGTGTGCAGCTGATGGACGTGGTTTCTGACGCCTAGGTTTGGCATGCTTTTGTAGTAAACATCTTCCGCATCACCACCTTTGGCCGGTGGGGGTTCGGTCTGGGTGCTGGTGGTAACACTCTCTGCGGCAGGCACACCAGCCAGGGCTGGCATGCTGGTGTAGAGAGAGTCCCTATGGGGTGACTGAAGATCTTCTGTGTGCTCGTTGGTTAGCAAAGGGAAAAAGCTCTCACTGTGGTCTTGGGGGATCCGCCTTCGGGTGTAATGGTGGGGCTGGTGGTTGTCTGTGGAGTAAACTCTTGGGGGCAGCAAAGGAGCATCAGATTCCTCATGAATGAGTTCCAGGCCCAAACTCTCCTCGTGGTTAAAGGAGGTGGCGTCATCCAGGACAATGGCGTCATCTTCACTCCCACTGCCAAGGTTGTTCACCAGCTTGTTCATCAGATTCCTGTTCTGTTCGCTGGAGCGTTCGTGGTTGTTCAGGTAGGAAGGTATATAGTTGGAAGTGAGTTCCTTCAGAATCTTTTTCTCCAAGGCGGTCTCATTATGGTTATAGCCACGGTCTATAATTTGCACACAGTTGCTCAGATATTCTCCACTGGCAATGCTGTAGCTATTGCCATGGTTACCATTCAGTGGTAGAGTATCCATGACACTTGTATCCCTGGCATTGTTCAGAAGCCCCTCTGAAAAAGATTACAAAACACTATGACATTGATATCCAATTGACCATAGGACACACACACCAGCACAAAAGCAAAAACATATGACTATGAGTATGTATAAATTGCTAGCATTTTTAAGTATAAAATCTTTGGAAACAAAAAATAAAACACTAATAAATCTATATGTACATATCTATATCTCTATATATACGTGGACAATTGATAGAAATCTTATTAGTGAAAAAAAAGTATTCAAAGTAAATCTTAAAAAGAAAAAAAAAAACATAGTTTGCAATTTCCACACAAACATTGCCTGAAATTATTTGAAACCTATTTGGTTAGAACTTAGAAAAAACAACACAAAATTTTAGTATAATCATTCATCGCTTTCAATTTATACACATCCAAGTCAATTTAATAATTAATTACCCTTAATTTTACATGTTGTCTCACACTGAAATTGGTATAATATTAACATAATTCATGTATGGTACTTTGAATATACAGGTCAAACTAAAAGAATCAAGCAGTTTCTAATAATTTGATATATAATTTTGTAACATTAAAAATAATCCCTACACACAAAACCACAAAAGGATTATGTTAAATTTGCCAGAATGATGTAGTCATGAAATAATACTTAGTCAAATAAATGGCACATCAAAATAATTTGCACATAGGAACTTTCAAAACAAAAACATTTGGATTTATTTTCTAGTTTGTTTTTTTTTCTGGTATAAGCACTTTGGTTACTATTATATATTAACTCATTAGTAATTAAAATTTTAGGGTCATTTGATAATGTTACAAAAGAATGTGTAAAGACTTAGGGGTCTGATTTCTAAAAACATAGTGTGAGTATTCAAGGTTCCATTTCATAATGTTTCTTGACCTTGTATGCATGTTAAAAGTTTGAGTTTTAAAGAGGTTAAACATTATATTCTGGGAAGAAGCAGCTGCAGTGAAATAAATTTGACCACATGCTTATTCAAGGTTTTCATATTTTCTTGAATGAACAGAAATCCAAGAATCTATAATAGTTCCATAAATCACTTCAAATGCAACCACAAAAGAAAATAAAACACAAACATTTAACCAATACTGGTAAATAAGAAAAGGTATTTCTTTACAGAGCAATTAATTGAAGAATTCTATTAAACTTCTCAATACACTGCTAACTGGTGAAAATACAGCATTCATTCTATATCTGTGATGCAATTATGTTTAACAAAACTGAACTAGTTCATTGCTGGTTTAAATAAAGTGTCCCGAATATGTCAATTTTTATATGGATTTCTCATGAATACTCTGTATTCAAGTAACACGGTTTTCAAAAACAGCAACACATAAAATCCATTAAAAAGCAGCCATCACAGACATAGGGTGAAGCGATTTATTTTCATGTCATAAGATATTTTGTAGACAAATTCACAATGTTAAGAAAAAAAACAGTAAATGCTTTTTAAAGGGCTGTATGTGATGGGTGATTGTTGCTGCAGAGCTGCTTATGGTATGCTTGATGGTTATGGTTGAGTGACTGATGCATTGAAACGCATGTTTATATCTGTTATCAATGCATTAGGTACGGTTTGAAAACAGCCATAGTAAAATAAAGTGGGCATGTTGCATGTGACATATATTTGTATGATGGAATGTACTACTAAAAATTAAAAGATAATGAATTAGCAAAAATAAAGGCTTAATTTAAAAACAATTTAACTCACACAAACATTACATGAGACTTAATAACTATGTTGATTATGTGACACAGTAAAAGAATCAGACAACAAAAGCGTCTAATCTCTATTAACATATATAAGTCAATTCATAGGTTCTTTCATTTTTAAATTGTGAGATGAACTGTTTTTAATAACTACATCATCTATATGTGATGCAATAAAAGTGAACTAAAAAAAATTACATTTGATATGCAATGTTTAGCTTTACTCCCATACTTGTCTCTCTGTAGGGCTCTAAACGACAGCATGAAGAAAAGGAAAGAAAAAACAACAAGTAAGCTTACAGCGACAGTAGAAGAAACATGAGTAAAAAGCAAATTGATGATATGCAGAAAAAAGAGTCAAAGGAAATAATTTCCACTGCCCCAAAATTCATGAGTCTGTGTTACATGGTTTATTATAATTAAAAATACTAAAATGTTAGTCAGAAAATTAGAAACTCCCCTTAACACATGCTAATAAAATGAGTATTTAATAAGTATTTCTACAATTTATAAATTTCAAACAAATACACATTTTTTAAAGTTAAGATTATCACACCAAATAAGGAGAGTAAAAATTTGAGAGCAAGCCATAAGTATTTTCACAACTATATTTTAATATTTTATATATATATGTACATATATGTGTGCATGTGTGTGTGTGTATTACAGAATACCTGCTCCTAAGGCATGTTGTTATCTTTAATTTTTTTCAGTAAAATTATAAATAAAGTCTTTAGCTTATATACATATATACAGAGAAAAATACAGTTGAAGGTTTTCAGAATTGTGCTTTTTTCCTCTATGTATCTTCTTTCCATGTACAATAGCTATTTTCCCCCCACTGTACCTATACAAATGCTTCTTTTTAATTGTGAATAATACTGATCAAGACTGTCATTTCTGGAGCTCATATTCAAAGTTGTATAACTATGGAGAAAGAAAAAGGTTAAATCCCATCATTATTCTGTATCAAGAAAATGTGAGGGGAAAAAAATACCACCATCAATATCAGGTTTTCTTCTGGATTGTTGCACAATCACAATCAAACATTTTTAGAGTTGATCTTTCAAAAACAATCCTTGCAAAATTGTTTTTTAAAATACCTCGTATTTAATCAGGTCAAAAGAACTACCATTGCTGATTTTGTTTATAGGAAGGTTAAATCATCACAAAATAAAAACCAGTGAAGTCACTGGGCTAGATCACTTAAAATGATTCCAACTTGTTATAATTTAACCTGTGTTGTAGAGATGTGGTGTTTGTATTTTAAATGCTGATTTGCTTCTTATCAAAAGACCAATGATGTTTCAAACTGCAGATGAACTTTCTTTTACATTTTCAAAATAGCTTTAGAAAAAGAACTGGAAATGAAGAGCCAAACCAGTAGAGTGGCAGATGGAAATCACTTGTAGGTTCATTATGGCTCCCTCCTTAAATGATAGGATTTTAGAACCGGAAATCACATCAAAGATAACTGAAGTTCAATTCCTGCTCTTCAGAGGTGAGGAAACTGCAACCAAGAGAGTCAGAGCCTTAGCTAACACCACCCTGATAATGGTGGCAGAACTGGGATCAGAAAGGGAATCTTCTGGAATTCCTCTGTGTACTATCTATCTCTTTCTCTTCACATCTGCCTTTAGGGTTTGAAAGCCATAACAGAATATTTACTTATGTATTTTATAATACAACCTTGTATTATGACCAACTAGAACATACTCTTCACTATATCCCATCCTAAGGGTATATGTCTTTCTATAAAGATTTAGAATTGAGTTAAATTACTTTAAAATGTAAATTACTTTGCAAAATTGTGACTTCCTCTCTATATTATGTTTTGTTGACAGGTTTATCTATAATGAAATTGATCTTATAAAAACTGAATTCTCCAATACTGACAAGAAGACAATGGTCCAGAAATACTATGCATGATGTTTTAAATATTTGCACAATCTGAATGCAATATAATAAAAGTATATCATTCATCTTTAAGTTAACTCTATAAGCTTCAAGAACACTATAAATACATATTTACATATTTTTAAACATAGATATTACAAACAAAAATAGATATTTTAAATTAGAATGCTTCTTTGCTTGGATGACATTGGTGCAACTGAATAAGAGGACCCATAGAACAGAACTAAGTGGTAATTTAACATAAACCACTCCAGTACATACTGAGCCACCTATATTTCATGTAAGATTTCTCCTTGCCAGTAAGAATGTAAGTGCATTCATCTGAAAGCTTAAGATTATCAGCAATATGACAATAACCAAGATTTATTTTGGGTCAGTGGTGAAAAGAATTATTTTAAGTGCTACCACAGTTTCCCAACATCTTAACAATACTAAAACACCAAATAGCTGAACAACTATACTTTTGACTGAAAAACATTAATAAAATTTACTTTTGTTTTTAAGAAAATTCAGTAGAATTTATATAATTACTGGCATAAATGACAAATCCATTTGAAAAATCTTCTATGTATTCACTGATAATCTTAATAGCAAAATCCAATAATAGATTCCATAGAAATAAAACTTAGAATCTATCTACATAGTATTATTTTAAATTTTGCATCATGAGAATGTTAATTTGATAGTATGCGCAGAACTGGTCCATCCTTAGAACAATCCCCTAATTTAGGATAGCAGTAAAAATAAAATAAAACAAGGAGGCAGATACTGAATTAGGAAAATATATAACTTAATACTTGTTCATTTTTTCATTATATAAGATATTAGAAATTTTATGTGAATAACCAAAAAAGCTAAACACAATGTGACCTAAATTTATTACCTGTTTAAAAACAATTTCCAACAACATTTTGCACAATGTGAATAATGTAGAATAAATTAAATTTGCAGATATGGTGTAAATCTTTAACATCATTCAAAACTTACTAATATGACAGCACACTTTAAAATGTTTTGATGACACAATTATCTGTCATGCAGCCTAATTAAAAAAAAAAAAAGCATAAGCTTTGCAAAACTGTTCTGCCAAAGCACATCTGGTGCATTGAGTCATGGACACTTGATCTAGTGCTACGATGAAATAGGGACATTGACAAATGAAAGACAATTTAAGGGAGGGGTAACCATGCAGAAGGACCTAGAAACACACTATCTCATACTGATGGCACTGAGGTTGTTTCACTAGGGAAATGGGGGACTAAAAGAGATAGGTTAACTCCATTCAAGTATTAAAAGGATTGCCACAGAGAGCAGAAAGCTTTGCTCTCTGCTCTGGAGGGCAAACCTAAGCGTCATGGCCAGTGGCAAATCTCAGCTCCGT